GCTTACTGTACTGTGAGAGAATTAAAACAAATCTCTCACCACCGTGCCTTATAAAAGTTACGGTTTATTGCTTCCATCCATCTAATATATAAGTTGAGCACAGTTTTAACAAAAGGTCATATTAATAGCAAGAAGAAATCATTTGGGTGGCATTAGGATGTTCTGTGGTCTTATTAACCCTCTCATGTTTGTTATAAACACTCATGGGTGGTGGATTTTTAGGAAAATAGAACTTTCTGCAAACCATCGCACTAGTGGCAGTGGCAGTGCGATGAGACCGTTATGGAACTGAAACACGATCCGTTATCCTGATGTTTTATTACAGATTTTATATTCAGGAGAAAAAGAAAGAAAGCCCTTTATTGTCACATATAAATCGATAATACAGTGAAATTCCTCTCCTCTGATCTTCACAGAATAACTAAGCCCCCAAGATACATTATATGGGAAACTTCCTAATATATGGGTGATATTTAGAAAAAGTGAAAATCACATGCACTCTTTCGGGAATAAAAAGGATATAAAGCTCTGGATATGTTTAAATAATTAACAGGGAACTCAATAAATTGATGAATCAATAAATAAAAGCAGAAGAAAGAAAGAAGGTAAGGAAGGAAGGGTAAAGGAAGCAAAGAAGATGGAAGAAAGGACAATGTGGTGAATGCATGAAAGAAAGAAAGAAAGAAAGAAAGAAAGAAAGAGGTGGATGAATGAATTAAAGAAAGCAAGAACATGGGAAAGAAGTGATGACAAAGCAACAAACAAACAAACAAACAAACAAATTAATTAATTCATTAATTCATTCATTCATTCCCCAGCTCTCTGTAACACACTGGCATTAAGAAACTATCAGCACCTGAACTGAATTCGAGGATGTTGCTCGTTAAAAATGGTCGCAATTCTTTTTTGTACTAATTAAAGTAAAGTAATAATCTAAATGCATCATATTACTGAATCATGGCCATAATTTAAGGGCTGTCCAACACAGTATAAGAAATCTCATCAACCGAAAGGCCAACGTCAGTGAACGGCAGTTTGTGCAGGGACGTTTGTCATCTCGCCGTCTGCAACACTCAGCGACATGCGCCGGTGCGTTTTATAATCTAAGCACGCTGCCTGGTTATGATGGAAAGCGTATTAGCCAGCGGGATGCACGGGGGATGTTAATCTGTTGTTTGTCTGTAAGGACCCCTGAACAAAGCCAGAGCATCTGAATGATGACCTTTACCTCGTTGTGAGCAAGTGCTGCTCTCATTGTCAACATATGTAATTCCTAGCCTTGGATGCCAGCACGGTGCTGGATTATAAATCAGTGGAAGTGCATCCGAGCGAGCGACTCGAGGCCCCCGGGCGAGGCTGATGGGACGGCGGCGGACAGACGGGATAAGGGAGCCACGGGCTGTCGTCCTGCCGCCGTCTGCAAGCCGTGGTCAGAGTGTGGCCTTTCAGAGGCCAGCGAGGAGAGAAGGCGGCTCTTATCAAACTGCCGCAGACGTGGAGCTGGCATTCTGTCATCTGCTCGTGGGCGTGTGTGTGTGTGTGTGTGTGTGTGTGTGTGTGTGTGTGTGTGGCTATTTATAGAAAACACTGATTTCTCTCCTACTTCAGTGTCATTGTCACTGATAAAGGACTCAGCTGTCAAGACAACAACATGACAGACAGTTCTGTACCAGAAATACAGGAAGTAACATAGCAAAGGCACAACCATCAACAGCACTGGGTCATTTCAGTAACCTAGGGGTAGTGCTTATAAGCCTACATAACACCTACATAAGCATTCCATGAAAACTGACATTAAACCGCGTAAGTACTCTAATAGGTACCACCTGATATAAAGCCAGCTTTTGTTAATTTTGATGTGCATAGCACCTGTATTTTCTCTGTCCCTGAATTAGAGTAGTGCTTATAAGGCTACATGACACCGACATGAGTATTTCATTGCAACTGACATCAATCTGCAAAAATATTCTTATAGGTATCACATAGAATAAGGCTGGTTTCGGTGAATTGTGCTGCTCATAACACATACAGTATATTATCTCTGTCCTTGAATTAGAGTAGCGTTTATAAGCCTACATAACACCTACATAAGCATTCCATGAAAACTGACATAAATCTGCATAAATATTCTAGTTGGTATTGCCTCACATAAAGCTTTCATCATCTTTGATGGACTTAACACCTGTGTCAAGATGGATTTTTATCAACGTAAGGCTGTTATAACAATTTCCAGGCTGACGTATGCCTTGAGAAACATCATCATAACTGGCTTTGTAGCTCAGTTTACTTCTGTTATGCTAAATAGTGGTGATGTGACATAAGTGGTGCTTATAAGGCTACATAATACCTAAATACTGTATGTTGGTCATGACAACTAACACAAACCTACATAACCAATTATAAAGGCTTGATAGGCATGACCTGACATAAAGGCTGGTTTGGTAAATTCGCACCTGAGTCAAGTAACATACTTTTATTGACCTAAGATTGTTATAACAATGTTATAATTATTTTTCCAGGCTGATTTATGTCATGCAAATGTCAAGAAAAGTGACTTGTTTTTGTAATTACTGTAATACACTGTATGTCTGCTTCTTCTGGCTCTAATGTGTATTTACTTCTATCTAGCTTATGCTTATGTTAGATGAAGACTTATGACAATGTAATAACAATGTAATTACTCTGTTATTACATTGCTATTACAATGTAATAACAGAGTTATGTGTTGGTTTTTCCCCCCCTCTGGTACTGAATGAAGACAGTTTTGCTTTTGATGTTCTGATGTCATTTCCTGACCGTTATATGACTGATGTTCTAGATCACATAATGACATAACGAATATCTGTCACGCCAATTACGACATCGAAAATCGACAAACGCAGTCATGACAGCTGGATTGCTGCTATAACCCTTCATAACTGCTTATGTAGGTTTATGTCACGTGGGCTTACCGAAATTTTCACATGTAATCTTTATACAGGATTCACTTATTTTTACACGTAGGGTACATGATTTAATTTTTTCAGACGTGATTTTATCACATGATTCCTTCTTATTCATGCGTGATGACATTATTCCTATCATGTCATGTGTCTTTCCTTGAACTTTCAGGGCATTACATGATGAAATGCACGTTCTATGTTTTTCGCATATTTACATAAAGATGTAAGATATGTGCTTTTGTTTCCCATAATGGCCCTGAGTCTAAAAAAAAAAAAAAAAAACCCTGAGTATTTCTTTTCCAATTAATGACATTTATTGGCCTTAAAAAAATTATTAAAGTATCTGTTGGAAACGATCCCACAGGAAAGAAAAAAAAAAGAAAGAAGAGAAAAAAAAAACACTTTTCAACTCGTTTAATTGGATGTCGAGTAGCTTTGAGATTCGTCCTGCAGCTTGGAGTACTGGAGGTGGTCAGATATTGAAAAATATGATTTGATTTCGATCCAGGTGGTCGTCTGGCATGATGTGAATTTTAAACTGAGGCACTCATTGCTCCTCCGGGTGTCGAGAGAGAGAAATATGGAGAGAGAGAGAGAGAGAGAGAGAGAGAGCGAAAGAAAGAGAGAGAGAGCAGTCAGTGCAGTTAATTCTGAGAAAAAATGTGCTTAATGAATTCCAACAAGCCTGCGTGAGCGATGTACGCTTCGGGACGTTGAATGTGTGGGAGCGAGATGGACTGAATGCACTTGTGCTCCAATTCCGTACACGCCGTGATTGCGAGCGACACACCTACGCTGCCTTTTCCGTCTATTAATACGCCGCTGTAATTCCATCTGACAAGTTGAATATGTAGAGCAAAGGGTGTGTTGTGTTTGTGTTTAAAGGCAGAAGGTGGAAATATACATTCATCAACATCAGCTCCACGAGCACGGCGACGGGAAAGTGCGTAAGAGGAAGTCATATTTCATCCTCCAGGGCTGTAGGTGACCTTGAGCCGGACACATCAGCACTCAAACATCACAGCTTATATTGAGTGACTAATACACTCTCCGTCTGACTCCAAAGCTTTTCCATTAACAGAGATTGTGCATGCCCATCCAGCAAAAACCCGCTGAAAAGACGCTGAAAAGACAACTTTTCCAGACGTCTTAACAACACTGAGATTTGGTTGAAAAGTGAAAGGTTAAAAGCCGTCTTTATATGACGATATACCATAAATGCAACAGAGAAATTAAATTGAAATTAAACTTTTGCAATAAATGACAAAACGTACGACTTAAAGATGCATTAAGGTTAGACCTTATTTTCAGGATTACGATTAAGTAGATGGATTTGACATACAGTATGAATGATCTGTTTTTACTCCTTGAGCCCACTCACCTTCCCCATTCCCTCCCATGTTCACGAAGCTCCGCCCCCAGGATCTTCAGTGGTCCAAATGGGTTTCCTCAGTCACTTAATACACTTCTGCTGAGGCTTAAAACATTATATTTTTATTATTTATTTTATAATGTTTTACATATTTTCCAGGTTATTTGTACAAGTAAGTACATTTAAAAAGTCGACTATTGCACCTTTAAAGTTATGTTACTGTTTCTGCTTATAAAATGTATTAACATCTTTGATTTTTTTTTTTGTTGTATTTTCATTAGAATGTAAATTAATGTGACATGGACATTTCAATCAGTCTTTTGAACTGATTGCCACCACTGGTTGGGAAACCTTGGATTAATAGCTTAATCACAACAGTCAGGAGGATAACAATCGCAAAATAATCAACAGGATGGTGCTATATACAGCAGAATTACTCTCACTGCCATGAAGTTCAATGATTTCCCAATAACACCACATTGTTGTTGTTTTGGCTGTTCTTTTGGCTGCTCTCGTTAGGGGTCGCCACAGAGGATCCTCCATCTCCATTATGGAAATCTGGATGTTTTGATTTGGCACAGGTTTTAGGCCAGATGCCCTTCCTGATGCAACCTTCCCATTTTATCCGGGCTTGCGACTGGCACTGAGATTGCACGAGCTCATGCAACCCCAGTGGCTGGGTTTGGTGCCAGATGTGGGGCTCAAACCCATGAGAAATCCCTGAGATTAAGGGACTCATGATCTACCGACTGAGCTAGCCGGGCGCCAATAAAACCACATTGTAAAGTGTTTTATTCCTCTTATAACACCACATATTTTCAACATTTTTTCTTTATTAAAGAATGTCGTCATCATTATTACCTGTTTAGTGTTACTAAGTCTTACAAAGAGTAATCCAGGATGCATGATGCGAAGGATTTGCAGGTTTATATCTTCAGTATTTTCAACCTCAGTTTTCTGGTGTGGCTCAAGCATCAAAAACCCAACATGTAAAAATAGTAAATAAATAAATAGAATGCAAATGGTGTGAATTTGCTTTTACGCCATTTCTTTATATCTGTTTATCTGGGATACTGACTCAACTCCTGTTCAGTAATTAGTAAGTGTGTCTCTGTGCTGTTAAATCTGTTGCAAACACGTCTCAAACTCCCTCCTCTGCTCTGAACATGGCTGAAAATATCTGTGCCTGTGCTCTAGGTTGGAAAACTGCATCACGGCGAAGCAGGAATGTGTTTTTACCGCTCCCTGAGGTACCCGTTGTTTAAGTTATGTGATAATAAAATACCAGTGGTGTGCTGAATAAATGTAGCAACACCTGTGAATAACAGAATAACAGCTCCTCTCTGAGAATACACTTGCTTATTACCCCTGAAGTGCTCTACATCGTTTCTTTTTCAAGCTTCTTCAAGATGCACTTCTGCGGGAATCGGACAGTAACGGCATTTCGTTGGATGTGCTGCGTCTCTAAGGGATTTCAGCTTTGCATTATCTTGTCAATTAGAGCCCAGGAAGATGAAAGCCATGAACCGAGAGCTTCTTCATACACACACACACACACACACACACACACACACCCACACACCGAGCGAGTCTCCGTCACACATCACACTGATGGCCACATTTCTATCTCTTGGACCATAAAACACCTCTCTTTTCAAAAAGCAGATATAAATTATTCATCGCTCGGATGCTCCTGCCCCCAGATCAATGCCAGCTCAAAGACTGTGTTCAGTGGCATTTGGTTCAAGGCCACATTTGATCACTTCCTCTCCAGGATTTGGCTCTTTTTTGTCTCAGGCCAGAAAGAAGTCATTATCTCCATTTGTTTGTAAGCTGCTGTTGAACAAGACAGCGAGACACACACACACACACACACACACACACACACACACACACACACACACACACACACACACACACACTTAAAGTTAGGGAAGAGTGGAATTTTTTTTTGATGTGGTGTTTTGTTCTGTAGTGAGGAGGCTTTGATGAATGGAGGACAACCAAGGACAAAAACAATCATGGAAATGTTTTTCTGTTATTATATAAGAGATAAAGAGCTCCATGTCATGCTGTTATAGGAAAATAATCAACAGCAGGGTGGTGTGATAAAGTGGAGTTACTGTTACCACTCCAAATTTGATTATTTTTCCAGTAACAGCAGTGTTTTGTTTCTCTTACACCACATCAGTGTAAAAGAAAAAGTGTAATCTCTCATCATGTTCCACTTCTGATTGTTATGAAGCACTGACACTGGAGACTCCTTCCAAAAATGCTTAATAAACATCTCCTCAAGGCTACATTCTCTCACCAGGCTGGTCCTGAAAGACGTCATTTTCTTCATCTGTTTTTAAGCTGCTGTTAAACCAGAGAGAGAGAAAGAGAGAGAAAGAGAGAGAGAGAGCAAGAGAGAGAGAGAAAAAGAGAGAGATAGACATAAAGTTAGGAAACATTGGAAAAATCTTTGGTGAATCATGAAGCCAGATGGATGGCGTTATGCAAAACGGACAAAGAGGAAAAAAGATAGATGAAAAATAGATGGCGTTTGATTCATGTCTCGTCTCGTCTGAGAAAAGCCTGCCAGAGAGTCATGCATGACAATAAGCCAGCTTGTGCCGTGATCACATTAAGTGCGGCTTCAAAGATGCCCGGATATTAGCAAGCATTTGCTTTTCTGCTCCGAGTCTGTCATGACTCATTTCCACAGACTCAAGACTGAGCGTTAACTTTGACGCACTTGGACGCCAGGCGAGATTTACATTTTTAACTTTTTATTCCTTGCGCCCCAAGGATCTGCAAGACAACAGCTCTGAATCGCTTAAGTGCTCCGAATCAGCTTGGCTTTGAAGAATTCGCTCTCGCCATGTCTTTTAAATGAGTACTATTCTCGGCGCGTTGCCTGCTTGAGTGGAAAATGTGACATTTATGATTCAGAGGGCATTAAAGAGCACCACTGAAATGCTAGGCGTCTGCAAGAGCAAACATTTTCTCTCTTCCACTCTTTGGCACTTTGCTTCTTGCTCTCTCTCTCTGAAAGCCCAGATGGCCGGAGCAGATGCCCAAGACTCACTCAGGAAGAACGGAAACCCTCCTCCTCTTTCTCTCCTGCCTCTCCTTTAGGCGACTGAGAGAAATGTTCAAGGAGGTGATTGGCTGAGCTCCGTAGGCCTGCTGCGCCCCGGCTAAGGGCGAGATACTTCAGCTAAATTTAGATTAAAAGGTCCTCCATCACCACAGGCAGAAAAACCGAAAAAGCTCCGGTGGTTTTCTGTCGAGGTTGCAGATTCAGAGAATACGCCTGACAGTACACGCGCCTCATTACGGGAGGGAAGTACACAATAGAAAGACAAAACTAGTGCCCATTAAGACTTATTTTTGGATAGTTTGTGTTCTGTGAATGGAAACTGTCTCTCATTTCAAAGAGGAAATACTGAAAAGGTTGGGTGAGGTGGAAAAGCTGGAAAAGAGGCTGATGGAATTAACCATTTGGAATGATTAGTACTGTTCTGAGGAAAATAATCAATGTGTGACGAGGCGGAGTTCCTTTTACCATCATGATTAATTCCCTTTTAACGGCACGCTCAGCGTTTTACTCCTCTTACGCCACCGCGATTTGCCAACAATTAGCATACATTTTCTGTAACTTATTTGTAATCTGTAGCTTGTTTGTTGGCACATTTAATGTCGTGTCGCATTTAATGTTAATACTTATGTTATAGCAGCAGTTGTATGAAAGAGGGTCACATCCGGCATCAGATAAGTCCAACAAGAATCGCAGCACTCTTTCCTTAATTCAATTGTCATAGTTGTGAAAAAACAGAATTCACCATTTAAGATTGCATATTTCTTTAAAAAAAAAAAAAAAAATCCATGGACATGGATCATCTTTATTCAGCTTCATCTAAACCACGAGTAAAGATCAGGTAAAGCAGTGTGTATCTAGGTGATGAAAAAGACCATTAGCCAGAAGTGGGTCACACTGTCAGCCGAGGAGAAACGGGCCACTTTCTCAGCAGAGGGACTACTTAACTGACCTCTATTCACTCTCTGAGCTCGGGTGTTTGCTTTAACGTTGACCTGTGTCCGTTCCTGGCTCACGAAGTGTTAGCTCACTAACAGCGTGTGTGTGCTTTTGGCTTTCGAACCGCCCGCTGGACATCAGACTGAAATTAAAGTCTGTGTGACTTACAAACAGAAAAACAGTAAAAGAGTGCCAATCAGAGATGCTCAGAGTTAGTCCTGGGTGTCAGAAACACGAGCATGGTGCCACTGAGGCCAGTTTTAAAGCTGAAAGGTGGACAAATTGAAAGTTGCCCTCATGAGTCTAAGCTTTGCCGTTTCTCGGTAACATGACAAGCCGTGTTTCTTTTTGTCTTCGTTTATTCAAAAGAGAGGAGAAAGAGAAGCTGGTGAGGGAAAGTCTGTTTATAGCTGCTATAATGTAAGCGACAACAGGAACTAACTTGTTTCACAGACGTTCCAAAACATAAGATGTAACTATAAATGGATTTAAAAAATATGTCATTTCTAATTTTTTTAAAATTGTAATTGTTGGCAAATTGCTGTAGTTTAAAACAAATAAAAAAAAAAACACTTATTGTGCTTATTACAGGAAAACAGTAACCTCACTTCATCACACCACCTTGATGTTGATTATTTTCCTATATTAGCATGTTATTTTCCCCATTACAAACCTACTTGGCAGTTTGGTGATAAAATGAATGGTGTATTTTGACAAACTGGGGTTTGCTAGTTAGCTTGATATCTTTAGTTTCACAGGAAACAGCTGCATCTCTGTCAGAGATTTTATCTCTTCGGGTTAATCCAATAATCCGACATGCCTGGGACTCAGATCCAAAACTGTGAGAAAAACCTATCAAAGACATCCAGTTACTTCAGGATACAAACAGACGGCTAAGATGCTTAATTGGTGGTCTACCAGCAGTGATGGAAAAAACAATGTATTTTTTACTCGAGAATTCTCTCCTGATCGCTTGCATGTTGTGATACACCCACTCGAGGTCGGAACAGACACACAACATCAGGAGACAAAGTTCTAGGCTCTGTTTTATCTCCTACATTCCTGATAACACACTACCAAACTCTTTCTTCTCTCTATCAGGAAAAGTGGAGAGTTTGCTGTAAATATTCATCCGATTCTGAAACTCGTTCTTATTTTGTCTTCTGAGTACCTTACGGTTTTACAGTCGCGCTACACAGCAGCACTCCAGTTCCATCCGGTCTACATGTGGAACAAAGAACCATTACACAATTACACAATCCAGAAAAGTGATGATAAGGCGTGTCAGGTTTTTTTAAATGGTGTGTTAATTAAAAATCAGCAAGATACCAGTTCAGTTAGACCGTGACGTGTACACTAGAATAAACAGGTCCACGATGGAACTCTACAGCGAAGCATTTCCCTTTCAGAGAGAGCTCCACGGGGAACCTCCTAACAATGGAACGAATCCTTATCAATCCAAAGCAGCTTTGAACAACATTACACTCTCTCTGAAAAGGAAATCCTGGGTTATAGGGTTCCTTCTAGCACCTTGAAAGGTTTTGTGGTTTGTCCCTCTGCTACGTAGAACCCTATAGCAGAAATATTTGTCCTAAAAGTGATATTACACTCATAGACAACTTAGAACTCTTAAGGGTTCTTTGGTTATCCAAAGGTTCTAGTTAAACCAAAATATAATAGTTATAATAATAGTTATTTTTGGAAGGATTCTTAGCTATCTAAAGGGGTAGAACGCAACTTCAG